TGTTAGGCAATAATACCACACCTCATCTTTGCAATATTCTGTTTACCGCCCTCTATGACATGTGAGGATTGAGCAAGGGGAATAAAGAAAGTAACATGGCGAACTGAAGTTGTGTTGTGCTATGATTATGTTCATGTAAATATAGGACACAAACAACAAATATGTCTCATGTCTGGGGAAATCTTAATAAGGCAAGCTAATGTTCTACCACTGACTGATGACAGGTTAATCTTACTCAAATCTATCCTTATCCAATTCAGTCTCATATTTACATCTGATTTAACCAGCTTTGTTAGGTTATCAGCTGTAAGAGAATATTTACTCCAAATGAAAGGAACAGCATATGGACGACAATCATTATAAAAATCATAATCAAAATAATCAAAATCATCATCATGTTTATAACTCTGATATATGCTCTGAGTAACTACCCATATAAATGTTGCAAGTGATTCACTATCAATATCTGAAAGGTTTAACTTTTTCCTCAATAGATGTTCGCTAAATACAACATACCTCCTACGACAATATTTAATCCTTTTAATAATGCTGCCTGATAGTTTACCACTGGCTACCTTTAAATATTGCAGTTTAGGAGCCACTTCAAACAGTTTTTCTAGTAAACCTCCATCAGTATCGCGGAGATCGTCAATAGTAAGTTTGGTTAATTTCAACTTAGTGTGAGTTTTGTGTAACTCATTCATAACTTCACTGAGTACAGAAGCTTGACAATATGTTATGGAAGATAGGTTTCTTGCATGTTCTAAGAAATGAATTACAAAAAAAGAACTAACTTTAGGTATAAAACTGAAGTTCATTACCCTTTGTTTATATGTCATATCTATATTTTTCATTGCAGCTGAAAGAATTTTGATTCTTTTTTCTCCCCAATTTGAAATATATTCAAAAAAATGTTCTGTTAGCCAAGCTCCTTGTACTACAACTGAGCTGTGTACAAAGTCCCTGCATGCAATTCTTAAAGACTCTTCACTAGATGTATCTATCATAGAGACTGGTGCCTTTTCAAGCTCTACGATTTCATGTGTTTCAATGCAACACATAAGTTTGAATAGATGCATATTTTTGATGTTGTCATTAAGAATTATTCTGAATGACTGACATATTTGCTCACAGCATGCTTTCATTTCACTGTTGTTATCCAATTCCTGTAGTACATGGTGTTCATGTTCATCTTTCACATGTCTGAAACATTGTGCTATTGAGCACAAATTTGAGGCCCTCTTTATGAACCAATGTTTTAGCAATTTACCAGCTTTATCACCAAGAAATCCTACTGTGAACACTCTTGTCATATGTAGGTATTCATTAGATCTTATCACCTCATACTCCTCTACTTTCAAATGATCTTCCTGAATTTTATTAGCCAAGCAAAACCCTGCTAGTGCCTCTGAAATTAACTTGTGTGGGGGTGTGTACATCTTCCTTGTATCACCTGGATCAACAGGGGTATCTTCATAAACAAATCCAAAATTCAGTGCTAAATTTACTAGTTCTTTATTCTTTGACAAATCATTTTTGTCAAGAGATAGTGCATTTTTCTTTAGTCCTTCATACATACATTCTCCTAAAGCTAAAAGTGCAGGCATATAATCATCTGGAATGCTATCAAGATTACTAATTGCAGTTCCATTTCCAGTCCTGTTTAGGTATTGACTTAAAGTACAGCAAATGATTTCCTTGAAGAGATCTGGCAAGTATGTGGGAAGAAGACGTATTTGTTTCCATATGGTGCAAATATGAAGCAATAACAGTGGAGATGAACACAATTCTAATGCTTCTTTGTGATCATCACCCCAAAACATTGTATACTCTGAATCAAGACTGAACTCTTTTATTAGCAATTCACCAACTTCGGTTGCACCAATTGATTCAAAATGCTTGTGAATGTATTTCTTTATGTTTCCTGGACTGAATCCCTTTACTTCAATGTGTACATCACAGCATTTAACCAAATCAGCTGTGTTGTCAGGTCGAGATGTTATCACCACAGTGCTTTTTTGCAATTCACTTCCTTTAAATAGATCTAATGGGTCTTTCGCATCTCTTTCTAACTCATCATATCCATCTAACAAAATTACTATTTCATTGTCATGTTTGACCAGGAACTTTTTAACTGAATTATCATTCAAATCATTCTTTATAATTATTCCATTCGAATCAATTTTTTCCATAATTATGTCCAAGAACTTTACACATGCTTTAATTTCCCTGATATTCATCATAAACAGTAATTTATCAGCAAAGACATGTTTATCATCAGTAGCCCACTGATTAGCAATATATTTAAGGAGAGTAGTCTTGCCCATTCCTCCCTTCCCTGTTATTAATATCTTGCATGAATCTTGTGATTTAATAACATCTAATGCATCTTTTAATGATGTGGGTTTTCCTTCCTTTTTTTTCCATGTTGACTTGTCAGGTGCTTTTCTGTCTATTTTTCTGGATTGCAGCAAGTTGAGTTCAGTGAACACTTCTGCAATATTTATTTCGTGATGATGATGCCAGACTGCTGGTGTCATTTGATTCTCATTCCTATATTTTTCTTTCTGTCTTGTTGTCAGGGCATCTTTGATGATTTTATCTGAAATAGTTCAAAACAAATAACAATAATATATTCTTAAGAATGATGTTTTGCCCTACCTGACATGTTTTCGTATCGAATACTGAGTACGTTCCCAAATACTTGTGAAAGAACTTACATGAGAATAGCACTTGCAGTACCTGCTGCTACTTGGGGATCGGATTCAACACTAGTCACTAAGCGCAAGCTTGGTAGGTAGTCTGGTGATTACGGTGCCAGGTTAGTTATCTGAAGGTCATGGGTTCGATTTTCACCCAAATCATTTGCAAATTTTTCCCGAAAGTATTTGGGAAGTACGGAGTATTTGATACAAAAACACGTCAGGTAGGGCACAACATCACTCCTATGATATTTTCCAAATGTAAACTTACATCAGAATAATATATTCCTACTATTATTTACATAGAAATATTCTTGCAGTTGAGGTGCATTAATTTCCTGTTATACTTCTTCATTGGTAAGCAGTAGTAGTAGCATATCACATATGTAATGCATTGTATAAAATAAGTAATTTATTGCTTATCAATCTATATCTTTCATTTATTTATTCATTATACTTCAATTCTATTTTCTGATTATATAATTTTTATGTAGATGAATGAATTGGGGGTAGGGGGCTTAAGCCCCTATCGGTCCTGTCTCTTATACACAACGGCCAAAAAAAATAGGCCTAGTCTTCTCATCCCAGCCTTTTCCGGCCATCTAGAAGTTTTTTTTTTTCTGTTTTTTTTTCCAATTCTTGTTTTGGGAGGAGGGGACACCCCCTCCCATACCAACCCCTGGCTGCACGCTATAGTTATACCCATAAATACTTAGGCCCCCCCAAGTCGGACATCTTAGCCCCCATAAATTATCCTAGAGCCGCCACTGTACGGCACGTAATGGCATAGATAGCGTTAGATGAACAAGAAAATGATCCATTGATGCTTATATGATTGTTGATTAGGCCCAGTAATGGTATTGCTTGTGTTGATATATGGAAAAAGTTTGCATTTTTGTTGATTGCATAATGCCTGTTGTAGTTGGGGTGTGGGACACTTTTTTGGATATAAGTTGTTGTTTAAGGTTAGGTGGCTGTCTGTATGCAACTTTAGTTTTCTTGGGTGTGATTTTGTGGAGTGTAGAGTCATTAAAGGTTGTAAGTCATTAATGATGCGTTGTAATGGTTTTGACGAGAGCATTGTATGTGTTGAAGAGGTGCACGATTAGTGATCCTTCTTGTATGTCATAAGTGTTTAATGAGGTATCTCAGTGGCTTTGGAAATTTGTTTGTTGACAAGTTTAGAAAAATGTACTGTAGGTCATTAAATTAGCGACGGAGGTGATTAAGGTGCTGCTTTTTGTCAAGTGCATCTGAGCATATACGGTAGGATGGTGTCTGAGGGCCTGCATGTAAACTATGGACTTGATTGTGTGAGATGGATGAAAGCTTGACGATTGAGTGTTTCTGTATGTAGAAAAAAAAATTCACTTTGGCCCTCTGACCCATGTTAATACCCACCCCTGCCATACTTGGTAAAAAAAGTATGCAGTAAAGACAGGTAAAAAATTTGTCCACTTAATGTTCGTGGAACTCATTTTTTGAAAACAAATTCCTTTTCAGGAATTGTATAGAATGCAACACAAATTTTAGTTCTAATTCCTTTATTATAATGTAGGACTCTCAGCATACACACTGTACAGTATGTAATTATTAATGAAACTCTATCAAACAAATGGTTTTTAAAACCAATTAATTAAATAAATTGCAATAGAGAATTTGAATATTAACAGCATCGCTACAGTAGAGCACGGAACAATATTCCGAAAGTCAATACATAAAGTTTATGTATTGTATAACACTCTGGCTTGTGCCTGCTACAGGAACCATTGTGGTTTGGGTCTAAAGATCCTGATGCAACTGTATGCTAAATCACTTTAAAATTGGTAAAACTCTTTTTTTACAAGCAACTTCCAGTAAAGCTTTCACAGTCAAGTAACTTGTTGATTCTTCAATAAAATTACAGTACCGTACTCGCGCCTAGGCGCTTGATATTTTTTTGCACTTTTTGAAGGGTGCATATTCAAACGGGGCGCTTATGAAACAGAGTGGAAATTGAAGGTGTACCTTTGCAAATTTATTAAAATTGGGGGGTTCTTAGGGGAATCAGGAAAATTCAACTGGAACTTTTTGAATGGAAAATTATTATAAGGACATCTGGAAACCAAAGATCTCGAATGGTTTTGGTACAGAAAATAAATCGCCCAGAGAGCATGGCTCATGACAAAAATGCGAGTTTTAACAGTAGATGAAATTAGGGTGTTGCCGGTGGTGTACAAGCTTGTTGACCATCTGCCGATTGAGATTAGCAGGATCATTGCAGGGGTTTCTAGCAAACTTGTCTATGTATATTTTAGTTTTGTTATGATGTATTTGTACTATACAGTAAATGTCCCTGTAATGCTATTAAATGGTATATTGAATATATTACACACCTTCATCTGACCTTGATCTTCTTGGTTGTTCTGATTTTCCTGCCTTGTCTGCAAAGAAACCGTTGGGTATTATGAGCTTAAAACAATAGTGTGCAATATAGTAATGTCAAGTTTATTGATTACATAGAATCAATAGTTCAAATAGTAGATACGTGTTAAGTAATTTAAGGACTAAAAATTGATGGGTGCAGAGAATACTGTTAATATCATTAATCAAATATTAATATAAAAAATTACAGCTTTATTTTAAAATCAAAAAAGTTTGCATCAATATATTAGTTTTCACAAGTCTATCTTCACTTACCAAAATACAAAGAATAAGAAAACGTTTTCATATGCTTTGTATTTTGGTATGTACTGTACAGTAAAATGAATATCCCAGTCCTCAATTATCTAGCAGTAGATTTCAACCAGTCACCAAGCAAAGCCCATTTGAAGAGCAATGACGTGCTTGTGTACATTTGTTACATTGGTGTGGCTACTTTTCATTATGATGTCACAAATGGAGCAATTTCAGTCAGAAGAAACTTTAACTATTCATTCCACCTTCAAACAGACAGGTCTCAATAAGTTATGGAATCTGTCTAAAAGGACAAGTAAATGTATGTTTCTCATGATAATTGGGCGTATTCGACTGGTTAATTTCGTTGACCATGTATAGTTTCAATGAGGGTGCACGAGTGAACAACAATTTCGTCAGTTGCTCCGTCGGAAATTATACAGTAGATAATTCCAAAATTAACAGTAATCGGTGATCATTTTGCAAAAATCGTAAGTGATTCTTATTACTTATAATAATATATTGAAAAGCTGACGACCAAACAGACAAATATGGGTAGAAAAAAGGAGAAATCAGCTACTGCAGATCTAGGGCCTGAGCCTGAATCGCCTGAGCCATTGGGAGCGGCCGAACAATCCAACACGGAAACGCTGAGGCGGGAGATTCGAAAGCTTTCGACTAAGATCGACTCGGTACTAAGCAATCAGCACACTATTCTTGGGCGGATCGATGTTATAGAAGCTAAACAAGCTGATATGGAAGCATCGCTACAATATTCGAGTGAGTCGATAACCAATCTTGAAAAGAAAGTAGCCGATTATTCCAACAAGCTCAAGGCTGTATCAACGAGCGTTTTAAACGACAAATCCATCATCGAGGCACTAGAAACTTAAATTAACAAAATCGAATGATATTCTAGAAGTTTTAGTTTGAGATTTGGAGGCCTACAGGAGGAATCAAATGAAGACGCTATAAAGAAAATTAAGGATTTTATTGCCAATGAATTAAAAATGCCTGGTATAGATATAGAAAATGCCTATCGTATAGGAAAACCCCGAGCACCCAACGAGAAGCCACTTCATATTATTGCAAAATTCCTTTACCGAACTCAGCAATTCCAGGTGTACATTAAAGCGAAGATGTTACTCAAAAACAGTAATATTTTTGTAACCGAGGATCTTCCTAAAGCGGACTTGGTAAAAAAAAACGAGGTTTAAGGGATGTTATGGCTAAGGCCTATAAAGAAGGAAAGAGGCCCCTATTCCGTAATGGAAACCTCTACATTAACATTACTGTGTGTTGCAGCACCCTATATCTCAATACCATTATGTTATGTTTTTAACCTTTCATTTCCAAATTCAAAGTTCCCAAACACCCTAAAGATTGCACGTGTAGTTCCTGTATTTAAAAAAGACCCAAAGGAGAACATAGGGAACTACCGCCAGATTTCTATATTACCGGTATTATCCAAAGTTCTTGAAAAATTATTTAATGATCGTCTAACTAATTTCCTTGAAAAAGTTAATATATTTTATAAGCATCAATACGGGTTCCGCAAAAAGTACCTAGACGATAACACGATATTACTGACTGAACGATCTACCACCCTCGCATCGTAGTAACGTACTGAACTAGGCCTAGCTAATAGGCCTAATGTTTTTGTGGAAAGTTAGATAGTTGTTATGTACCCGACAGTCGGCTGCCTTTATATCTTTACTTGTCTTCAATTTGCATTGCTGCATAGCCAACTGTCGAGGATATATTAGTACCTTCATATGACTACTCATACAACAGAAAAAAACCTCACATGGAGTTAGTGATGAATGGAGATCTAAATGCAAAAACGATGTATTTCAGCAAGTATTAAAACCTTTTTGTTTTATTTTGGGCCTTCTTCAAAATACCTATGCCACAGCAGTTGATTTTTTTTGCTGTAAAACCAAAATAGTTTCATCCATGCTGACTTGTCAATCGGTTTATGTGAGCCCTGACTGAACTCTGCAGAAACTTCACATCGAACTTCGCATCGCGAGGTAAAACAAAATGTCGGAAAACTTTTCTTTGACGCATGCGCATTTGCATAAATAACAAAGGAAAAACAGTGAAGAGTGATTACAATAGTTCCTATTGCATTACATGCATAGGAACTAAAAAGTCATTTAGTGGTGCAACGCCAATAAATTAACAATAAATGCCGATAAAACTAATTATATAATCTTGGCTCCATTAGGATCGACACAAGCTTAATTTCTGAATGTAAATCTGTTAATTTTGTTGGCATTAAACTTGATAAATACCTTAGTTTCAAAGATCACATATCTGATTTAAACAATAAAATAAAAAAGAGAGCTGGTTTTTTATTTAAGTTACGGCACTGTGTCCCTGAGGAAACATTGGTTATGCTTTATAATTCATTTATTTTACACAACTTGATTTTTGGTATTGAGGTATGAGGCAGCACCTATGAATCGCATTTAAAACCTTTATTACTCACTCAAAAAATGTGTGCCAGATGTATTACTTTTTCTAAATTTAGGGCTCATTCTATACCTTTATTTGAAAAACTTAACATTTTAGACGTATTTAAGCTTCATAAATTATATATTTTGAATTTTATATCAGACATTTAATAACAGATTACCACATAGTTTATCAGATTATTTTGAAAATATTTGTTATAGTTATGCAACAAGGTTTAATTACGAATATAATTTAGCTATATCAAAATGCTGAACTAATTTAGGTAAATTTAGAATTTCGTATATGGGTGCTAAACTCTGGAATACAATACCTGTTAAGTTAAGAGAGACTACCTCGAGGAATGTATTTGTTTCAAAACTGAAAAAATTACTTTATTCCGAGTATGAAGATTGATGCCTATTTATTTATTTATTTTCATTATTTTATTTATATATTTATTTTATTCTATTTTATTTATTGGGACTGAGGGGGATAGTTAAGAAAGGGGCCAAGCTTGATTAGACTTCTATTTCTTGGCTCCTATTGTATACCGTTTGCTTGTTTGTTTTTTTTTTTGTTTTTTTTTTTGTGTATACAAAAGAAGAAATAAAAAAAATAGTATAATAAACCTAATGTAAGTAATAAATTAGGTTTAATATTTTCTAGTATTAACATTATTGACAGCTCCCGAAACTGGTCTATCTTATTGTTTAAAGAAGCGTTTGCTATACGTAGACTACACCCTTTGCTTAACAATGGACTCAGAGCTTCAAAGGAGCTTCCTTTGTTCTTGTAGGTAGCTTTGATCAGTAGAGTAAGAATGCTTTGATCTTTTGTTTAAATCACTGCTATGTCACCTACTAGAGGTAATGTTTTGATTGGTTAAACACTTTTGGTACTAGTGCATATAAGCTTGCTAATATGGATAATTTTTTCATTCCTGATGATGACATAATTCATGTCGAAATATTGAATCCCAACACAATGGCGTGTATTTCAATTCTTGGAGTATGTATTATACTTTCTTATCGGATATATTTAAACTCCATGAGTTAATTGTTTTGAATTTTATATCTAATTTATATGTATGGAAGAGAATGGAAAAAAATAGGAAATGCCTGAACATTAAAATTATACAATAAGATTATGAATAATCCTAAAACATAGATCCATTTTACTTTACTATTTAGTTTAAATAGAACTACAGGTTTTAACATCACGATTTGTTCCAATAAAGAACACGATGGTCTAATACTCTAAAACAACTAACTAAGATACTACGGCTAGCAAATTCGGTAATAAACACATACGCCTAGAAAACAGTTACCATTTTGATGAAAAACAACGATAAAATCATTATTTTCCCATCAATTAATATAAAATATGGATTTATATTGAATTGTCTACAAAAATTTGATAATATGTTAAGAGTTTTTTAGATCCGTAGGTTTCAAATTCAAGACATTCATTGAGTGCATTGGTTATGCAATTGTGTCTGTGAAATACTGTAAGCATGATCACAATAAATGGCAGATCAAGAAATTCAAAATAGAGGGTGCCCTGAGGTAATTTCACAGATGTAGCGTTTAGACCACATTAGCACCACAAAATTTATGATTATGGCACCTCCCGATGGCCAGGAATGGCATTCTCTGACCTAAAAAGGGCTGCCTAAGGCCTCTAGCTGGGGTCCAAAGTAAATCCCTTGATGGAGTCAGAAGGGGAGGGGTTATTATGCTTTATGGTGGTAAAATGTGTGACCAATATCACAATATCAGGAGCTGAAATCACAATACATTTGGTTGGAATGTCAAATTATATTTGAGACTGACAACCTCAAGTGGCATACAGGAAAGCTTGTCAAACTAATGATAGACAAAAGATCAAGAGTTCTTGGATTGAGCATCATTTGAATACTACTAAATTAAAAAAAAAAAAACTATTTATTGTATAAAGAGCTGCTTAAATAAATTTCAATTAATGTTAAATGAAAAATATCATTCAGCACCTACTGTACATACCTTCATTTACCTTTGGTGTAATTGATGTTGATGCTTCTTTAATACCTGTAAAAAGAAAGAGAAATTGAAAATATAAATAATAAAAGCAGAGTGTAATAGTGTAAAGTAATAAAGTGATACAAGTTTTAGGTAATGTAAATCATAATACTGTTTATAAAATAAACTTTATATGGTGCATGTCTAATTGGTTGATGTAGATACAAGTACAGTATAGGTAATATACCCTTAGCTAGGTGGAGAAAGTTCATACAAGAATCATTGTATAAACCTTTACAGATGTAACATGCTGTAAAGTTTGCACATGTAGAAAGATCTATATAAAAAAAAACCCTGATCCACCATAAGACAACTTGATCTGCCTGAGATCTTTGAGTGCATACTTTATGAAGGCCTTACTGTTTTTACCATCAATGTGTATGGGTCATGCATGGCAGTAACCATGATATCTGATGAGGTGAAAGTGAGTTAATGAAGCCAAATCTCTGGCTGGGGTATGGGAAATACCTTGAATATGACTGGCTACTCAAATTAACAAATATCATGCTAAATATGTTAGCATTTATAACAATATTAATAACAATGAACTTATAAGGTACAGTACATTGACATGACCTCTGTGTGCATCTGAATGTCAAAAAGGGAAGGTAAAAACAATTGTGCATCCATCTATATATTTATAAAGTATCATATAAAACTATTAGTTCATAAACAACAGCAGTATACCTTCAAGTAAATACTTCACAGCCAAGCAACTTGGTAATCCTTCAATAAAATTGTAAATCTTTTCTTCACAAAGCTCATTCTTATGTTCTAGATCCAGAATCAAATGCCAGCTATCATTGTAATTCTTTAACAGAGGTATGTTATATCTTACATCAAGCGCTACTATATCATCTTCAGTCAATACCGTTCCTAGCTTTAACAGGAACTGTCTGTACCATGAGAATTTAGTTACTTCATGTTCCTTGATTCTTTGTATAAGTGGAAGTATAACTCTGGAGTTGAAGCCAAATTGTCCAGTCACTTTTATAGTGTCATACAGGATAGTGAGATTTGTAGGACTCAAATTCCCAGAACCAATTAACATACTTAGCAAGGATATCACCTTAGTAGCCTCACTTAATTCATTATAAATTGGCACATGATCTCTGTTGTTGTACAAAACTTTTAGCATATTGACATGTCCAAGTCCATCATACCATCTTGAAAAGTCCACCAACAGCTGGCTGAAATCATCCTTTGAAAGTCCTATGATAAAAAGTTGACTATCATCAATATTACCGTAAGCCAGATAAAAAAAAAATATTGTGTTGGCCACGCCTGAATGAACAATATTTTTTTTCATGAGCTTTGCCTAGACATTTTTGGTTTAAAAAAAAGTTTTCCGACCGACCAAGCCATTTTAAAAAATTTTTCCAAAATGTGGCCCACACAAAGATTTTTTTTTTGGCTTTATTAATAGAAATGTACAACTTTAAACATCAACAAGTAAAATGAAAATGTACATTTGATTATCATCTTCATTGATCATCCATTACAGTAATTTAACTCATCATTAAAGAAGTGAAAAATAGGTTAAAAAAATGAATAAAAGTAAATAGAAGTTTAAACAATGGAAATAATGAATACTTCTTTAATACCCTGAACAAATTCTAATTTAAATTTTGAGATAATTTAAATAAAGATTACTCTAACAGGGAGAGGATAAAGAGAATGTGTGCATTTGCATATGTGTTACTGTTAGTGACATGTAAATAAACACAGGGTCCCAAGTTGGAAGTCATTACAGGAGACTGGTGGCAAGGAGAGACTTTCACAGATTAAGGGTCGACAGACTCTGAACCACCTGCCGAAAATGGCCATGCCAGACTTAAATTTAAATATTATTTTCTTTTCTGCCCCAATTTTATTAAAAATAACTTTTAAATACTTAGGAGCCCAGACCGGCTTCTCCCGCCCCTATGAATCCGCCACTGCTTTGGTTAATGAGCCTTCTCAACGCATTTCATTTTATTTTGCTACACATATTGATACCCAACGGCACTGACTTCCATGAGAAAATTTAATAAAGCAATGAAAACATGCAAAATCATGACTTTGCGGAAATAGGTTAATTTTCAGGAGATTCCTTCTTGCTTGCAAGAGTGTGGGAGGTCGCCACAATTTCTGGGGGAGTACCGCAAGACTTGAGACCTGGAAACATCCAAAATAAACATTGAATAAAGCTAAAAATATTCCAGCTTTAGTAATTAGTAATTTTAAAGTAACCCGAGAGGAGCTTAGTTCGGCTGTAGTAATAGCCACTGTGTGTGCGCTGAACCGTGGAGATCTCTAGGTCCCTGGTTCAATTGCGATCGCTGCCTCTCCTTGTGTTTCTGCTGGCAGGCTTATTTGGGATGCCAACAACAATTACTTATAAATAGTATTTTACCTGTTTCTTCCATTCTTCCTTTGTGATCTACTTCTCACAGCAATTTATTAAATAATTCACTCAAACTGTTGGGACTCACAACCTTTAACACTATAATGGATTCAACAGAAATGAAGATATTAGATAATTTTATACTACCTGTATTATCATTCACTTTAATTTAATGTATTCTTTTGAAATTTTTAGTTTTAGAACGGTTCATTTAAATGATGACACACTCCTCCTACCAGTCGTTACTTTAAAGCTGATTACTACCACAACTAAGCCACATTTTGTATTGCTTTACAAATTATGTATTTAAAACCCACTGATTTGAATTTAAATTAAACTATAGTTTAAAAGGTTTAAAGCGCAATTATGAGCACTCAGCCATATCAGGTAGCACTGCTTTAATAGTACCGTCACATGGTGTTGTGAAGTTACAAAGTTCTCTTTGCATACAGAGAGTAAACACAATTCCAAAAAATACCAAAACAAACAACCAAAAGAAAATTTGATGCATAGAACAACAAATTAAAATAAAGTGTAATTTAAAGTACCGCTTCCCAATGGGACCCAAGTTTTGATTTCCCATACTAACCACGATCCATCAAATAATTTGATAGTAAATATACTAAATTGTTTAAGATCTCTGAAATATGTAACTGGCACATTCTCATTTAAATAAATGAACACACAACTCCTTTTTTCTATTAAATAAAACCTAACATCATAAAAAATATTTAAACATTAGAAAATTACATAATACAAATCAAGTGCTGTTTGTCAAGTTTGAATACAACTGCTACAGTAATTAATAGTCTGAATACAACCACTGCCAAAAACCAAGGTGTCTATTATTGGTCTTAATTTAATAACAGCCCAGTGAAGTCTTAACATTTGTATAAAAAACCAAACAAATTCAGAGTAATATCTTAATTACTTTTAAAATAACATTTGTATATTTAGAATATCAATAACATTTAAAAATTACAAAAACATCTCAAAATGACAAATTCTCAATAACTACGCTGTTTCCTTTTACATTGGCAAGTGCATTTCATTCTTCGAAAATCTACTTACCAAGTTCTTTTTTTCAATATCTGCAATGCCCCCCCCCCCCACCTCCTGCTTCAGTCACCTGCCTCTTCAGCTCTTGGATGGATTGTATCATCACATCTTGGCTTGCCTTTTATGTGTGACTAGTAATGTTTATTCCTGCAAAAGTCATAAATATTTGATTTATCAGCCTTTTGTAGGATTCTTTTTTGGCTAATACAATCAATGTAATCTTATATAAGTTTAATATTTATGATTTTATATGATTTTAATTAACTTTATTTGGACTTTATTTTAATTAATTCAATTGCTTTCTTGAATTTTTACTGCACTAGCAACTGTCTGTCTAACTCTTCTTATAAGATGGGAAAAGAATATTTTACCTCATTTTTTCATAGTTAAATATGCATTATTTAAATGAATTTTAAAAAATATTTTTACATGGTTTGGCTGCAACACTTAGCTGCCTTACTCTTACTTTTATGATTGGAAAAGAATAGTTTATTTACCTCAATAGTGTTTTTCATACATGCATTATTTCAATCAGTCTTGATTGAAATTGATGTAATACATTTTTTTCATTTGAAATTTATTAAAAGTTAAACCAAATATCATACTCTAAAATGCGATCCAAATAAGCCTTTTTCTGTGTAACAATAGTTACCAACTGTCTCGCATTTCAAAGTGATTTTGGATGAAACACACATTTTGCAGAAACACATGCGTAATCTTAAATTTGTTACGCATTTAGCACAAGTCTGTGTGATAACGAATTATCACAAATTCAGGGCAAAATGTATTTAAAATTAGAAGAAATTGGTTTTATTAATAAAAATGGTCATGCAGTAGCTTGAGTCATTAGAGAGCTTTCGTTATCCTGTTTGAGAAATTCACTGAGGTAATTTCTCTTTCCCAACCAAAACAACCCAACCAACCACACACTTAGAGTAGAATCTACACTGTAAAAACAACATGGAGGATTTAAACACAAAGCTTGAAGCAATGTTGTCCCATTTTCTTGCATCAAAAACCATCAAACGTTTCAAACTACACGGAGCTATGTTAAATGCAAAATTACTGTGAAATAATAAACAATAACGACAAACTTATTTGCACAGTAGGAATAAGACGTTATTTCACACAGTACAGTGTGAATAGTATCTTCCATAATGTTATAAACGAATGTAGGTAAGAATGGCCCCGGAAAAAATGGCCCCAGAAAAAATGGCCCCGGAAAAAATGGCCCCAAAAAAAATGCATATAATGACTCAAGAAAATCAGTTTTAATTCAGAATTTGATTATTGGGGCCATTTTTACCTACCTGTCTTATGGGGCCATTTTTACCGGGGCCATTTTTTCCGGGGCCATTATATCCGGGGCCATTTTTTCCGGGGCCATTTTTTCCGGGGCCATTCTTACCGTACACCGTTATAAACTGGTCTCTCTACTACCTTTTGCATTCAATACTAATTAATTTATTGTAAGAATGTATTTGACTTGATCTGCGTTATATATTGGAAAATTTCAACCTACAGTATTTCCTCCTTTTTAAGTGCCAAGCTTGTCATTTTTTTTTAAAACTTTGTTCAATTGTTGAACATTTCTTATCGTTGGGAGATCAGCATACTTAGACAAAATTTATAATTTATGAATACACAAAAAAAAGCTTCACTGACTTTAGGTTGTGCTGCTTTTGTGTGCAATTGTTGTCATTATCATTTGTTAGTTACTGACCCGTACCAACTGTAATCTTTAGGTAGTACAGTATTTGGTATTTGCATTATCAATATATGACAAAATCATATGTAAAATGCCACCACCCACAAACTGTATAGGTAGTAATGTAGATATGTTTTTGCTTTAGTTTATTAAGTCAAAAAATTACCTATAAGGCCCTTAGAAGGTTAAAAGGAGGTCATTCCTCGTATGTTTATGGTTTAACGTCTATCTTATACAACCAACGACAGTTACAGTAGTCCCAGATTTCGTGTAAAAAGAAATTATTCCAATACAATAATAACCAAATGCAAAAAAAAAGAAAATTATCAATGTTACAATTAATATACGGATTACACATTACTGCTCCACGACCAACAACACTCAAGCTTGATAGGATTCTAGCTTCAAGTAGTCATTTATATACTGTAATTAGGGAGTCTATAAAACGAAGACTGAAGACCCAAAAAGACAGACCCCTATTTTTTCTCTTTTATAGACACCCCTGTAATTATATTGCTCACATGCTTTTAATGTCATTGTGTTGTGAAACATTATTACCTACACAGCTTATGGGTGTTGGCATTTTGCATATGATTTTGTCATATATTGATATGAAAATACCAAATACTACCTAAAGATTACAGTTGGTACGGGTCAGTAACTAACAAATAATAATGAAAACAATTGCACACAAAAGCACTTAGCAGCACAACCTAGTCAGTGAAGCTTTTCTGCTTCACTGATTTTAGGTTGTGCTTCCTTTGTGTTCAATTTTTGTCATTCATTATTTGTTAGTTACTGACCCGTACCAATTGCAATCTTTCTATAGCTTTGGTATTTCCATTATGTGACGAAATCATGCGAAATACCAACGTCCATAAAGTGTTTGTTGAAATAATTTCTAGCAATGTTTTTGCTTATTTTTAAATAGTGTTCTTCAGACAGATTACCTATTTAAAACATTGTGAAAATGAGGTTCAATGCACTTATATGATGGTGGCTCCGATCTCATATAAGGTGCACACAAAATATTAAATATATATTTTAATCGATGAGTGAGGAGGGACTGTTTTTATTTGGCAAGATATTTTAGATCATTGTATAAAAAATGGTTTAATTTTATCTTTTTTATTGGAAATTTTTATTTCAAATTTCGCGAAAATGGTTTATAACATTCCCTGCAAGACTGAAGACCCAAAAAGACAGACCCCTATTTTTTCTCTTTTATAGACACCCCTGTAATTATATTGTTCACATGCTTTTATTATCACTGAGAGATCACTAGCATACTTTGTCAACTATGTTTCAATTCTGCTTTACTGATTTTAGGTTGTGCTTACCTTGTGTTCAATTGTTGTCGTTAATTATTTGTTAGTTACTGACCCATACCAATTGCAACCTTTCTATAGCATTTGGTATATCCAGCACGTGACAAAATCATATGCAAAATACCAACGCCCATAAAGTGTTTGTTGCAATAATCTCTAGAAATGTTTTTGCTTATTTTGAAATAGTGTTCTTCAGACAAAGATTACCCATTTAAAACATTGTGAAAATGAGGTTCTGTGCACTTATATGATGGTGGCTCCTATGAACAGAAACATAATCAGATTAATACTCTTTTTATTTTTTAAATTGTGAGGATGGGAAGTTTTTTTTTTTTTTTGGAACAACAGAATACAGGGCTCGAAATTCACGATAGCAAACTAGCAAATTTGCTAGTAGGTTTGTCATAATTGCTTGGTAAACATTCACAAACCAGCAAATTAAAAAAAATGATTGCTAGTTGGAATACCTATACAAAATATCTTGTAATTAGCCTAGTATTAAACTACAAATAGACTAAACTGATCTACAAAAACTAATACAAATTTTATTAAATTTATTTATTTATTTTTTAATTATTAAAATCGAATAAAAATGCTTATAATCAAAGAACTTAAATAGCAGAAGAATGAGCTGCTCCGCGTATTTGCATTAAAATCGATGGAACATTCGCCCTCCTGCGGTTGCAGTAAAATTTGAACATTTTACTAAGTTGAGAAACTAAAGGAAACAAGCAGCGCCTTTGTTATTTTTATATAGCGCCGCCGTGCGGTTGCAGTAAAATTGCTCTCCGTGTACCCACAATGCCTTTTAAACGGATGTTCCACTATATTGGGAAGATGCTCTATCTTCTGCTATTTATTATCTTTGCTATAATCTACGAAAAACGATCGTTTTTTTCATCTTGAGCACCAGGAACATGATGTGAAGTGCGCCACCAACATTAATTTTTTTAAACCTTGCAACAAGCTAACTAAGCAGTGTGCAGATAAAATCGCTTTCCTCACATGTGTTTGTTGACGGAAGTCACGGGCGATGCGATCGGTAGTAAAGGCGAACGTATAAATTTGGTTCTTTTTAGATAATTATCAATGTTTCAGATATATAATAATAATATATATAACAATAATAATTTACTATGAAGCCAAGACAAATAATAGGTTACAACCTAGGCTTCAATTGGCAGATGTTTTTGGCCTAGCCTGTACTAGAGCCTAGTCTGGCTAGGCCTAGTAGACCTCCTAACCTAGACCTAGTCTAGGCTAGGCCTACTACTGCACCAGTGGCCGCCTACAAAACGTCTAGCCCCCAGCTTTAAAAGACCAAGGCCTATCAAAATAAATATTGTACAAACAAATCTTTTATGTAAAATTGAGTTTCTGTTATGGCCTTTTTCTGTCAAAGATTTGGCTTGCTACCAATGCAGTTTTTGAAATCTCTAGACCTAGCCCCTAGCTAAGCCTGCTTAGGCTAGCTAGCCTAGGCTAGTCTGGCAAAAAAAACCAAAAAAACCTGCCCCTGAAAATTTCTGAGGGTGTGACACTAAACAAGTATATTTTTTTTTATTTTCAAAATAATATGATATAAAATTAATATAAAATAAATTTTATTGTTTATAATTATATTATTTTGAAAAATTCCAATAAGCAGTACATATTTAATATGAAAACAAAATCACAGATACAAAATAAAAATTAATTGAATGATAAACTTAAATTATTTTTAAAAATAAATTAAGTATATAATATCAAATTTTTATTTTGTATCTGTGATTTTTTTTTTTCATATTAAAAATGTTCTGACACTGAAGTGAATATATGTACAAGGTATAGAAATCGATTTCTTATACTCATTTGGCTATTTCTTTGTGATATTTATTGTAATACACTCACCATAACAGAAAATATTATATTAAAACATTTAACACACAAATTTATAGAAGTACATCATTAGTTATTTTCATACAATTTATTTTGAGAAGCTCATTTTGCTAGTTACATTTTTAACAACTAGCACATTTTAGCAAAAAGTAAATTTCTAGACCTGGAATATTGTTTTTTTTTTATATGTATTTTAATCGATGAGTGAGGGACTGTTTTTATTTGGCAAGAAA